GAGACACTCGCGGACAGTTTACAGTCGGCAAATGATCGAGCATGTCGTTGAGCAGATAGACACATTGTACTGGGACTCAGGCGCGCAGCCTGTTGACGACGACCAAGAGGACGACCAAACCGCTTCTGATCTTCATGAAGATGATGCAAACACACTGTACCAAAACGCTGACCTCACACTTGACGAGAATATTGCGAAACTGCCTGCGACATGGCATGCCCGTGACAGCAACGACGAAGTAACGCAAGACGAATACCTTTCCTCTGTCTCACGCTTGCAGGAGCTATCTGCTCAACGCCAGACACTACAAAACAAGCTCAACACATATCGTACACTGCTATCGTTGCTAGAACCCTATCGTCAGCCGAAGGAGAACATACAGCCAAATTTGGCATGGAAGGATGCGCCGCTGGTCCCTGAGTTGGCAAAAACAAGGACACTGGCCATACGTGTTGCAGCAAGAGTCGAGGAGAAGTTTGGAAACGTACAGGTGCCTTCGACTGCGGAAGATGACGAGGATGTCGACATGGAGGGACTCGGCAATCACAGTCAAGCAAAGGTGGACAAGGTTTTGGCAAGTTGGTAGGATTCTCGAGCCCTCTTGGGAAGTACATAGATACTGGCGTTTGGATATGATACCCCACTTGCATCAAATAGAATGCCTCTAGTGTTTTCCTTTGCATTCAGACCTTAGCTTAGTAAGATGAGTGCATGAACTGATGTTGGTGGTATGGATGCTCGATAGCGCGTTGGACATCTTAAAGAATGCTTGAAGGTTATAGCGTTGCAGTCCATAGGACATGTCAACACTAACGTCTCGCGAATAACCCTTGTAGTTGATGATTGAAGCTCCGATTGGTTTATGCGGTGGCGGCCAATCCCAGCGCGAGGCCAACAATTAGCTTGCGCTAGGGTCAACTCCAAGTTTAACACCGCGACTACACCTCATTCGATCTCCTACAACACTAGCCATGCTTCTACTCATCGCCGTGGGGATAATAGTCCTCCCGGCTCTGACATACTACCTCACTACTGCTTTCTTCTTCCAAAGCGCAAAGAATGATGCAGCAGGAAAAAGGCCGCCCACAATCCCGTACTTGGTCCCTGGCGTGTTCCATACGTTTAGCATAGCTGCGGAAGGACCGCAAAAGTTCTTTGCAAGACTATTGTAAGGTGCTGCCTTGAATTTGTGCAACGGTCACTGATGTGCAATAGCAAGGAGTTTGGCAGCTTCGCCCCATTCACTGTCAAGGCAGGTTTGCAGACTTTCGTGGTCCTCCGGGACCCTAAGCATATCAAAGTGGTCATAGAAGCATCAAAACCATCAGAGCAGGGTTCCATCGTAAGACACGAATATGAGGGTATTTTCAAGGTGCCCAAACGTCAAGCAAGCATCCCAGCAGAGTTTTCCGATCCTGCGAAGTACAATGAAAAAGTCTACAATGCATTCACGACACCAATTCGAAAACACTTGACTGGCGAATCAATGGTTAATATAGGCGAGCGTTATGCTTCAAAGCTCTCAAGCAATATGGATGACAAAATGTTCCAGGTCGGCACGTGGACACAGATAGAAGACTTCTGGTCCTTCTTTCACCAAGTCCTTACACGATGCTTGGTAGAGACATTGTTTGGACCGACGATCTTCCGGCTATATCCAAAATTTGTGAAAGATTATTGGACATTTGAACAGGCACTAGAAAGCTATGTGCCAGGAATGACATGGCTATTGGGGGCGAATGCATATGAACAGCCTCGCGATGCATTGCTTGAAGGCATCGAGAAATGGCTCAGGGCAAACCAAAGCGGCAGCAATACTGCAGATGTCAGCACCATCAATACAAACTGGGATGATCACCGAGGATCGCCATTCATTCAGGAACTCACCGGTCTTTTGTCAGAGTTCACATCTCAAGAATCGCGAGCAGTGGAGTTATTAAAGATCATTCATTGGTGCGTATGCATAGGGGGATGACTGTGCTTGTGAGTAACAAGAATATATATGCTGACATATGTGTGTAGCGCAAACGGGAAACTCGTTCCATCGACAATCTGGTCCTTGATCGAAGTGTTACGCAATCCGCAACTGGCCAATCAAATGAACGACATTGTTTCCAAAAATCCTTCACAAATGCTTGGAACTTATGGTGTTACGGAAATCGCAGCTTCACCTCTTGTCAAGTCTCTGTATCATGAGACTAGCCGTTTACGAATGGCACAGTATATGATATATCCTGCCAAAGCTCATGATATCCTCTTGGACAGGGAATATGTACTCCCCAAAGGAAGGTCACCAATCGTGTTTTCACACGACGTTGCACTGGATAACAAATCATGGGCCAAAGCGCGACCGCGTACCGTTGAGAGACCACTTGAAGAGTTCTGGGGAGGCAGATTTCTCATCCCCGATAAGCCGAAGAAAAGGGGCGGCTTCGAATCGGGCGAGTTCAGCTTGGAGGATCTTGATTTACTAGCCCCCGCTTTTGGTGGCCACCAAAATGTCGGTCTGGGCAGTGAATACGCGCAAACCATTCATGCAGCGACTTTGACTGTCTTGTTAAACGAGTGGGAGATTCAACTTTGCGATCCGGAATTTACAGATGCAGTTATGCCGACCATGTCCGACAAGGCTTTCGGTACTGTGATACCGCTGCGACCAGTAGCTGTCCGCATACGGAAGCGTAGGCCAAATCGGACCATGTAAGATGTTGTGTTTCCATAGGCACAACTGAAGCAGCTAATAAGTATGGTCGTGTACTGACCAGCCGGCTGAGATTTACCTTTACCATCTCCGGGCCTCGCAGTTTTGGTAACAACTATCAAGCTAAGTTTCATATAGAGCTCTGGGACTCTTTGATAGCTACCAATATCCTGGCTAGGAAGAAGATCACATCATATTTTAGTGCAATTGGAACAAAATCTAAGAAAATCCTCCATTTGCATTTCCACTCGTCTTTATATACAATCAGATGTAACCTAGTAGTCACACTGTCGAGCAAAAAATATATACAATACCGCCCACTATCACCCATCACCCATCCTTCCTCTTCCGAATGACCTGCATTACTCTTCCAATCAATTTGCCCCAACCCCTCTCCATCTTCCAGCAGCAATCTCGAGTCAGAAACTCTAAGCCTTTGCACCGCGGACAGCGTTGATCTTTCCGATCAAGAATCGTCCAGCCTCTCCAGCATCACTGCCGTAGCTAAGGTGGGGAAGCAAGACAGCCGCAGCAAGGTTACCGTCACAGACAGTGTCGCGGACAAGGCCACCGCAGAAGATCTTGAGCTTGTCCTTGGGGAAGTTGGGGATCTGCTGGTTGTCACGGCGGGCCTGTGTGTCACCAAAGGTAACGACACCGGCAATTTGGTTCTTGACAGCGGCAGAGAGGTCTTCAATGGCGCGGTGGTTGACAGCAGCACCTTGACTATTTGGTCATGGTTAGTATCAAGAAACGAAGTGAGAGTGAGGGATGGGTGGGGGAACGTACGAGTATCCACCACAAACAATGGTGGCAGTAGGGCACTTGCGGTTGATGTCCTCGAGGATACCGCGCATCTCGAGCTCAGCAACGAGATCGGTGCCGCCGGGGAGGTAGTTGGTGGACAGCAGAGCAGCGTAGTCGACACCTTCAATGGCGAGGTTGCTACCGTATTCGCGGCGGAGCTCGTCACCGAGGGGCTGGCCAATGATGGCGCCCTATAAAGTTTTCCCAAAGTCAGAAATCTAGAACAAACTTGCATACTACTATTTTGCTTTTTTTTCGGGGGCCTCTTTTTTTTTGGAAAGTATCCACTTACCATGTTGCCGGCCTCGGTGGATCCACGGGCCCACACGAAGATAACGTCCTTGCATCCACCCCCAATCAAGGAGGAGAATTCGTTCTCAGTCAAGCGAGTACGGCCGATGATTTGGCGGGGAGCAACGACTGCATCGCCAGCTTCGGGGATGGCAATTGGGGTTGCTGAGGCGGCAATGGCCAGGGCGAGGATGGAGAGGAAGTTCATCATCTTGACTGTTTTTGGGAGTGAGAGAGCTGGGTAACTTTCTGATGAAGAGGAGAAGAAGATGGCGGAGAAGCGAATTGTTGGAAGTCTGGAAGAGATAGTGAGTGAATGATAGGAAGCGATGCTTGCTTGCTTGCTGACTGTTAAAATCGTGGAATCACAGTTGTCTTTATACTTACTTCAGATACGAGAGGTATCCATTCCCCGGCCCACTTCCTGAATCCTCCCATTGTCAATTGCCGAACGTTGCAGCAATGGATTTTGGCCCCCCCCCCCGCGGTTGCAAGATTGTGCCTTAGCACAGACGCACCCTTTGCTACATCTTGACAAAGGCCCAAATCGCCGACTACACTTCCTTCTGAGCCGAGGCATTCGAAGGGGAGCAAATGGTTCTGCTCCAGGTTCACTGTCCAATGAGGGCCCCCAAAGGTACAACCCCTAGCTGTACCTTGAAGCAAGCCAAGCCCCATTGCATATTATACCAAGACACGTGGTAGTTACTCTCAATGAAGTAAGGGCCATGTATTAAAGTTTTGAAAGGAAAGTGGGGGAGGGAGTAGTCTGCATACACATCAGACGATTCTTGGGTGTTTAGATGCCTAGGTAAAAGGAAGACTCAGAGCCCTGAAACCGTGCAAACACCAATAGCAGCGATTTTTGAAAAAAGTCGCCTCGGTTCATAGTCGAGTTTGTAATGGACTGGGTCTTGTGATGAAGCGTCATGCTGGAACCCTGAGTAGATGGTGTCACTTGGCTCTACTACTACTACCGGTCGTTAGCTCTAGGGACAATTAGAGTGGCTGCATGCTGCAGGGCAAAAGGCGGGGTACCGTATACATTTTGCCCTTTGGTGGAGAATGGAATGTAAGCAACGTGACTTTTGCCTATCTGTATATTGCGGGTGCTTGGAGGGATACGGGAGATCGACTGGGGAGGTGCTTCAACTGGTGAGTGTGGACCAAGGAGGGAAAGGAAAGTAACTGGACACCATCATCAGTAGCAACACCTTGTCACATAAGAAACTCGATTGGCAGATTGGTTGTTTTTATTTGTGAAACGATCGGGATGAAGGCGAGTCGGCTTGAGTCGGAGAATAGCGCGTATCTCGCATGGGAAGAGCGTGGGTTTAGTTGCTTTCCCCCCCTCTTTCCCCCCTCTATCCACATGTAGGGCTGACCACCTACTTTGCGTTGGTCCTTTGCATTTTGTGTGCATGTGGCGTAGGTACCCCACAATTTCACAGTAGTAACCTGTTTTTGCCTACTAGTACCATCACAGCATAGTTCAAGTATTATACGCGGATGTACTTGAGGCATCTGCAACCGGCCTGTCATGCAGATCTCATTTAAAACCAGTAAAACCGGTGACATGGAACATCCCATGTAAAAAGCAAAACATCGAGATCCCGATGTGCAGCCGGCATGAAACAGTCGGCACATCTCATATACCCCTCTGGTTCTATACTATGCTATGCGCATACCTCGGCAGCAATCGAGGAAAATAGATTAAACTCCCGTAGAAGCCAAGGTGGTGGCTTGATCCAGATGATCGCTACACCACCACCATCAGAACATCCTTGCTTGTTCTGCAGCAAAGATGCCGAGGTCTGCTTTAGTTGCAGTGTCCCTCCAAATCTCTGTGGAGACTGTAGTATCATGATGAGAGAAAGTATAGGTTGCTTTTGGAGAGGGAGTGTGTATGTGTGAAGTTATAAGGGAGAGTGTTTGTTCGCTTTATGTTAGCAGAACACACAGCAGCATAGTTTAGCAACGAAAAAAAAGGCACAAAGCAAAGCAAAAACTACACAGCAAGATGCCTTGCATGTCAATCACTCCTCTCCTGGCGTTCGCCTTGATCGCCATGTCCTCTGCTCAGGAAACCTGTCCTGCGATTCCTCCCAACGACGTTGAAATTGGACAACCTGTGCCGATTGTTCCAGGTGACATTCCCAAGGGATGTTCTGCGTTCGAAATTCTTGTTGGTAAGTCTAAAGCTCAGTATTTTCAAAGTTCCCTTTTTTCCAAGAGACTGATGTGTCAAATCCAGCTCGTGGCACCAGCGAACCCAGTTTCCCAAAATTCGGTGTCATCGTTGGTGACCCCGTCGTGAGCAATGTTTCTGCACAACTGCCTGGTGTCCAGGGTTATCCAGTTCAGGTACGTCGATCCACAGAAATAGAAAAAGAAGATCCCATAGAGATAGACAAGGGCTGACGCGTACTGTGCCTCCCTAATAGTACCCAGCAAGTTCTCAGGTCATCACTGGTGGCAGACAAGGCACAGACGACATTGTCAAGCGTTTGACTATGCAGTCTGCTGCATGCCCCAATCAAACCTTTGCTCTAGTTGGCTATTCACAGGGAGCAAGTATTATGCATCGGGCCGCAGAAAGGCTCCCCGTGTCTTTATTCCCACGGATCAAGGCAGTCGTCATGTTTGGTGATCCTCAGCAGAGGTTGGGCGCCTTGGGAGACAAGTTCCCGATTGGTCTGCGGCCAAAGGTGTTGCAGGTTTGTGCAAAGGGCGATCCTGTAAGTATTTTTCAGCTTCATGTGTGGCGCAGAAGTGGGGACTGAACGTGTACTAATGACTCGACACAGGTCTGCGATTCGGGATCTTGCCAGTACTACCATCTAACCTATGTCCTCCCAAAACTGATGGACCCCGCTGTGGCTTTCATCGTCAGAGCATTCCAAGGATCACCACGCCTCTAGAAGGATGTCAGCAGTAGGCCACTTTGTAAATATCTGAACGGACAAACAACCCAATGTATATACTATCCAAACCTAGCAATTCCATTCATTCACCCCCCACATGCCAAAAACGCAGCAAAGCTGCACCCCCTCTCCCTTTATTCCCTCGAATCCTGCGAAAACGTCGTAGTAAGGCGTTCCAGGCACCCCAAAACCCGCCGTTACAGCCACATTTACCATAACCCCCCCCTGTCCTCCACCCGTCTGCATCGTCGTCCACTCCACATCCCACTAAACCCCGCTGAGCCCACTATGCATCGCACCCCCCCTCCCCCGCTCGTACTGCATCATCCCTTTCAACATGTGACCACAAACGCCCGTCCAGAAAAAAAATCCAACACTAAACCAAACCCACGCTCACTTTAAACACCCCCTGTTCAACATTCAACCCTTGACCGGTACATAAGCAGAAATTGCGCCACTCGGCTGCGCTGGCTCCCACGCGGCACGCACTCTCTACCCCAAACGTGCGTTTCGGTAAAAATGCTGACGCCACGTGAGGGGGGAGTTGGGCCTTGGCGGTAAGAGTTAAGACGTTGCTTGCCTGGTCTTGGCTGGTAAGTACTTATGCATCCGCTTTCCCCCTGCTAACGGATATGTGCGGAGCGGCGATCGCAGGCATGAAGGATTGAGATGGGGGACTGGGGGTTGGATCTTGCCGGTCTAGATCGAGGGTGCGTAGATGTGCAGATGAGATTGATGTGGGTGCATCGGTAGATCCTGTTAGTGGTTGGGGGTACGTACTAGGGGGTGTTTTTATGCCTGTGTACCCGGTGGTTTTGTCAATCGAGACTCTATTTCCATTGGTGAAGAGTCGGGATGTGGAGTGTGGAGTGGGCAGAATATTGAGGGCGGCTGTGAAATTAAATAAAAGCGTTTTGAGAAATTTTGGTATGGTATTAGTTTCTAGAAATGTATTAAAGCAAATATGCAAATATGCAAAGATATTGTTCCTCCACTTGTATACTCTGCACATGATGCTCAAGGGTATCAATCGCTCGACTACTTTACTGGTCTACGGCCGTAAAAGTACGAGTACACGTCTAAGATTCGCCATGCGCCACGCTGAAAAAAGGAATGCAGCCTCGATTACTGCGGATTGAAAGATGCTGGAAGGATATTAAAGCTCAAAGTTGTCGAGCCAGTGCTGAATGACGATTTTGCCTTCGTTGAAGGACTCTTTTTGCATGCGAACAATGATGGCGGCGTGCGAGTGCCGGTGGTTGTGGATGTGAACTGGATGCTTCTTGAAACCGACGTTGTCTAGCGCGTCGATCATTTTGAATTGCTCTGGTGTAAGTGCAAGGGTCGGGAACTTCAGATTTGCCTCCTCCTTTTGCGCTTGGATAGAATCGACTTCGGTGTCAGACCCAGTTTTGTGCGCGTTTCCTAGAGTCTTCTGCTGGCTTAAAGACGTGCCCTCTTCGGAGCCATTGCTCAGGTATTCCTGGCTTTGTGCGTGATTGGCGTTCCCGTACATGTTTTCAGCCTCTCTCCGTACTGCATTGATCATGAGTGGTATGCGATAATGCGTGTAGTCGATGCCCGATCGGCCTTGCTGATGAAGTCGTATGCGTTGGTGGCTGCGAACTGATTGAAAGGCCGAATTGATCAGAAAAGCAGTCACACCGACAGGAACCAAGACTGAGAGGAGCGCTACGATGGATGCGCGCCCAATCACCGTCTTTGTACCTTCTGTTAGGCGTTGCGCGAATGCTAATGGTTCCTCAGGATCTCTTGGTGACACTGTATGTTCTCGATCGACAATTACGTCGTCGTAGTTGTCGATATAGTTGATTTTGACCTTGTCTAGATCTACAAAAGGGTCGGTTGAAGAGATACCGGCAGTGTAGTATGTCACTGTTCGATCGTTGACGACATTAGCATATAAGCTTCGGTGCTTGAATTGAGATAGTCCCTGGATGAAGATGCTTTCTGAGTCCGCGAGAACGGCTAGAAGTGGTCGACCAGTGTCTCTGAATTTGTCCACACCAAAGAGTTGTCTTCCGCTCATGGAAAGTGTGCGCGCGCCCAAGACATTCCATAGGTGGCTGTGGTAGCCTTTGAGGGGTGTTCGAACGCCGAGATGGGGAGTCGCAAAGGTGGTGAAGTTCTATTAGGATTAGCATGTGGTACCAGAATGGGGCCGAGGAACGTACTATCGGCCGTATCTTATCAAAGATGCCCCTCCGATAGAGCAATCCGATAGCATAACGGGAGATGAGACCTCCTAATGAGTATCCGATGATACTGATCTTGGTGATGTTGTGTCCACTCTCAGCTAGCTCCTCAAGCTTTCCTTCGATTTCTTGGGCAACGCGCTCGCCACCCGTGTCTATGCCGTCGTAGGTGAAGCTGCCCGAGTTACGTGCCGCAACAAGGACGTGGAGTTTCTCGCTGGGAAACGTCTCGCTCAGAGTGGTGCTAACGTATTTCAAATGGTCGGGGTTGCCCCAAAGGCTGGTCGTGGTCAGCACAATTACTTTTTCTTGCATGTGAATCTAGGCGGCGGTTGTGTTGTGGTGACGTACCCATGGACGAGGACGCAGAGATGGTCGGGCTTCTCAGACATGGTGGCGGACGTAGTGGTGGCGGTAAAGGTAGACCTGGTGAGTGTGGTGAAGGTTGTTGACAGGTAGACGGTAACGAGAGGTCTGGTATTAGTATATGTGCGGTACCCACACGTCCAGATATCGTCCGTGAAAGGCGCAGTCGTGCCCGATGAGCGCACCGCCTCAAGCCACAAACGGAGTTAAGGGATATAGGTTGGTATAGGTGCGCGACAAACCGGCCGAGTCGCAACACCAATGTCGACAGTACTGATGGGATTGGACAGGGGAGGGCTGAGGGAGAAGTCGAGTTTGAGATTTGTTCAGATCACGGCGTCATGACGGAATCCGAGACGGATCGCTGCTCCAAAGTCCGCCTACGCGTGTGTGGACCCTGCATGTATCGCGCTCGGACCAGCATACGCTTGCAACAACGCGTGCCTGGACGAAGTCAACTCTACTCGTCTCTCACCTTCACCGTGTGATTGGCTTCGGCGTCATTCCTAAGTGGATCTATCTATTCACTCGCAGCAACTGCATGCTTTGATCGTCCTGCTGCAAATACCAATGGACCCGTCGACACAGTGAACGTTGCTCTGCTAAGCCGAGAGGCTGTCTCTGGCCCTGCGCTGCCTGCACTCACTTGCCAACTGCGCACTGCGCCTCAGCGTGCTTCGTCTTTTGCTTACTTTGTATTGCCTCCGTGGATGGGTTGGGTAGAGTACCAGTACCGCTTCTCCTGCTTCAGAACCAATCATCCTCTGACCGCATCTCACCCACGCCCTTGACTGAAGCTCAGCCAACCCAGCTCGGTACGTTGAGCACCATCTGGGTCTGCGTATGTGCATACTTACAGTGAAGCTATCAATTCACAACCCCAATAACAATGTGGCCGTCGGCCCCAGCGTACAGAAGCTTCGCCAAGATATCATGTCCCTCAGGTGCCTCCTGCGCACTTCCTCACTGCATTTTCGGTCATGATGCTGCTAGTTCACCTGACAGGTCGCCCTCACCCTCTCCGGTAACAACCGTATATGGCCCTCAGAAGGTTGCAAAACTCTCGCAGCTTAGTGAAAATGCACCTGGAGCCGCTCCTGCGTTGAGGCAACCAGGCTCTAGCGCTTCGGCCAATCCAACCATATCCAAGGGCAAGGTGCCGTCGACAAGCAAAGAACCCGAACCTGCACAAACACTGGTGTCGAGATTACCTGCCAAGGCGACTGTGCCCACTGAACTGCCGCCATCTGCCACCCGGACAATATCACCGCCTCCATCCAAGGCTACAGCAGCTAAGCCAACCGTCAATCCCGACACGCCAGTCGCTTTGATGCCGCGTAAACTCAAAAAAGAGCCATCGACATACGCTAGGCGAATTACGCTCCTAAAGGCCCTGCACACGCATATGAAACCGCAAAATGACAGAATTCTGAAAGCCACCAAACCGGAAATAAAGGCGCTGCACCTTGGTCCAAATCAGTTAAACAAATTGGCAGTTGATGAGGAAGAAAAGATCGCCATAGCGAATCCATCCGTTTACGAGAACATATTGAAGCAGCGGCTAGTAAAGCTCAAGGGTATGACACCAGAGGAGTGGGTCAAGGAGAGGCGAGCAGCCATAGCTTTGGAGAAAGGTGAGCCGCCCAAAAAAGCGCCGCTTAAGAGGGTCGATACAGGCTTGAACCCAGAAGAAGAAATTGCCTTCCTCCGCACACTCAAGTGCGAGCAGAAGGGACTGGATGCGTATGGTTATGTCACGAAGTTACCGAGCGACGCCGAAGTGAACGAAACCCGTTTGGCCCTCGAATCAGCCGCTGGGTGGGAAGAATGCGACCGCTGCAAAACTCGTTTTCAAGTGTTTCCGGACCGCAACGAAGAAGGCGCTCTCACGACTGGTGGGGAATGCAAGTATCATTGGGGTAGAATCATCTACCCCAAAAAGTCCAACGATGCCACAGAAGTGAAGAGACTGTCATGTTGTAGCGCGGAGGTAGGATCGCCAGGCTGTAGTACGCACGAAACCCACGTCTTCAACGTCAAAGACACAAAACGACTGTCTCTAGTCATGCCATTCGTTCAGACACCAGCAAATGATAAGGTTCCCAAGACTTCGGCTGTATGCTTTGATTGCGAAATGGGCTACACCACCAATGGCTTGGAGATGCTTCGTCTTACCGTCATATCATGGCCACAACACAAGCCACTCATCGACGTCCTCGTCCGTCCACTGGGCCAAATACTGGACTTCAACACGCGCTTCTCTGGCATCACACGAGACCAGTTTGTCAATGCCAAGGAATATGATCCTGCAAGCCCTCAGCCGGTACGCAAAGACCTCCGCATCGTCGACTCGCCTTATGCAGCGCGAGATCTCTTCCTCTCACACGTCTCTCCAGACACTCCTATTGTAGGACACGCGCTTGAAAACGATCTCAACACCATTCGTCTCATACATCCCTTCATCATCGACACAGTACTCCTGTATCCAACCCGCCAGGGCTTACCTTTCCGTTTCGGCTTGCGCAAACTAGCTAAGGAGTATCTCGGCGAGGACATCCAGCAAGCAGGCGCCGCTGGTCACGACAGTTATGAGGACGCGCGCACAACGGGCGAGTTAGTGAGACACAAGATTAAAGTAGAGTGGAAGCTGAAAAAGGTTGATGGCTTCGAAATTAGAGATGGCGGCGTGCACCCGCCAATGCCACCTGGGGGTCCACCAGCGCAGGCTCCCAATATGCGCCCGACGATACCAACGGCAGACATGACGGGGTATATGGGTGCGAAGCCGGCCACTAAGAGGAAGCTGGAAGATGAAGGAGAGGAAGGCAACGGTGAAGAGCCACCGTTGAAGAAAGTGGAAGCTTAGAGGGTTGTTGGGCTAATGCTAGTGATTTGTTGGTGTCGAGATTCCAACTGACAATCGCCATACGAAGCTAATTATATGACAGTCTCTGAGGCCTTAGCATGGCGTTTAGGGGGTATCTGAATCTCTGAAACAAAACGCATATCTCGCCCTCAACAAGGCGTTGGGGGATACACTCTAGATGTTTGGGCTTCCTCTTTCCTACCAGGAGCGCGAAGGGGGTGCTAAACCATATTACTAGCACTCCACCGCTACCCCGGAGTACGTATACCCACTCTCAATCCATGTTTTATCTTGCTTCTTCAAATCTTGACTTGCCTTCCTCTTGACCCTCGTCTTCTATATCAAACAACACTGTGCCTTGCCACCCCACTCACCCAACCTTATTCACATCCAGTCCCTGCACGCCCTCCAGCCCTTCCTTCGTAGGCTCATACACAACATCCGTATCCAACTCCTTCATCACCGCAACCACCACACCCGCGCTTTCCACAAACCCGTTCACAGCAACGCGCAACATGCGGTTCGTAGTCGCCGCGTAGTCGACTTGCAGTACAGATTGCTCAGTTGAGCCCGCGGGTGTGGTGAGTGTGAAGGCGCGGCGTACGAGCGGCGAGAGTTCGGCGTCGACGGAGAGGGAGAGTTGAGCGGTTTGGGCGAGGTGTGCGGTTGGGAAGGGGATGTGGAGGGTTCTGTTGGAGAAGAAGGGTTAGTGAGGGTGGGAGGTGGAGGGGAGGGGAGGGGAAGATGTACAGGGTACAAGGAAAGTCTTCTTGTTTCCAGTCTTTGGAGGATGACATGGTTGGCGGCGGGGAGCTGTGATAGATTTTTTTTTGGCAATGGAAGGGCAAGAACGCAATTGTGTCAGGAAACGTCTAGGCCTTGCTTAAAAACGCGCCGAGTCTGGCTGATCGAGGGTATGAAGAATTGGATATGGGTTTGTGAAAGAAGGCGCGGAAAACGTCCGCCCATGTTTTGCGCCGTGAGGCTCAAACGTCCGAATGTGGGGGAGGGGCACAAGTGGTTCTCTCGGCTGTAAAAGGCTTAGCGCCGATTAGCCGCAGGAGCATTGGTGCCTGATTCGAAAGCGTCATACATCATCATTGTCCAACGCGTACCATAGTAATGCGTCATGGCTCATTCGCTAGTGATCCTACATACCTCTGTCTTTCCTTTTCTCTTCTCCCCATGCTTTCCTTGACTTATCCTCATTTCTACTTTTCAAGAATTAAATCAATTGCATACATAATTCCAACAACCAACATCTTCCTGCATTTGATCAATTAGAAAGCACATAATCAAACAGCTCTCAAAATGTTCCGCACCACCTTCACCAGATCCTCCACGCGTCTCCGCCTTTGTACTCCCTCTGCCCGTCCTTTCTGCCTCTCAACCCCCAACCGCGTAGCCCAGTACCCCAACGACCTCAGCACAAATTCAAAAACCAAAACGGACCTCTACGACAGTGATACACCGCATGCAGTCCAGGATAAAGTCCGGCAGGGCGATACACACAATGTGCACGAGAGTAATGCGAAAGCAGGCATGGAGTGAGTTTTAAACCATTGGTAGCTGGTTGAGATGCGGGGAGGGATGGGGAACGAAGAAGTGGCTAATGCAATACAGCAGCGCGCACAAGGAGGGTAAAGGTGGTCATGCGACCGAGCGGAAAGATTCGGCGGGAGGAAAGGAGACGGCTAAGAAGGAGTTTCCTGAAGCACCGGATCCGGCGATTGGAATGCAGGATGAGAGGGGTGGACGGGGTGGTTGAGCTGGGTTGGGTGTGAGAGATAGGAGATTTGGGGGTATGGGGCGTTAACGTATGGCAAAGAAATAAGAGAGTTGATTGCATTACCTGACTGGCAGTGTTTTGCCTTGATACTCACCATATAGCATCAGGATCATCTTCGCAACAGCACTTCTCCGCCTCACCCATCTTGAACTTTGACACGCGCGTACCCGTACATGTTGTGTATCCAGTCAGGATGCTGCAACAGTATCATCGCTAGTAGCTGGCGAACCAGCGTTCCAGCGTCTTTCAACCGCACACACGCAAAAGTACGCTTTCCCGAGATTCGACTGCGTTCATCGCGGTGCCAACGTGGGATCCCGCCTAGTGTTCTTTTCACAACAGGTTAAGATGGCTCCTAAGGTAGCTACGGGGGTTTTCCGGTTGTCCCAGCGCGGCGTGGACTTTTGAGAGATCGTTTGGGGACTAGATGGTGTATGCGTCCTCTTCACCCAGTAATCTCACGACATGCTTTGTGGATGTTTTTCCTACGAGCTGCTTGGAGGAGGTGGCAGTTGCTTTTGCAGAGGAGCATGCCGAGTTCGTTTGCGGGTCATGAAGGGTTTCTGGGTGGAGCAGGCTGAAGAAGCGCTTTTGGAGGCGGAGAACCCATATGAGTAGCTTGTGGCTTTTTTCGATTTCGCCGAGGTGGAAGTAGGCTCGAGTGCGATTGGATATGGCGCTGAGGGTACGGGGGTCTTCGGGGACAAGGTACTTGCGAAGTCCGTCGACTGCCCGTTCGCCTGTCACCTGGGACATGTGTCTCTCTCCAGCTAGCCATAGGGTGAGCGTCATGTCGTTTAGAGCGAGGCAGTATAGTACGTGGATTGGTTTTCATGTTGGCCAAGTTGTCCAGTCTCGAATATGCGGGCTGTTCCAGCGCAATGCATCTAGGACGCGCTTCTAGACACCAATAACAGTTCTGATTTCAAAGAGGTTCCATAGGGTGAGCCCATAGCAACGCTGGGCGCGGATCGTATTGACATGGTATTTTCCTAGCAGTCCTTGCCGGATCCGAACCACACTCTCCTGTAAGCGACGTGCAGGCTTCCATTGCCCTTACTCTGCATATACCCAAGCAAATCTCTCCATTTACGATGCACTTTCCAGCGTCTCGGTTTTTTGCAGCTGCTCCGAGTTGTGTAATTGCAGACACGATGCTCCCCAACTATGTCGCAAGACACTTCGTTTGCTCGCTATTACAGATTGCACTTTTGTGGTCTCACACACTCGCGGTACTCAATCAATTACTGTAGTCTACCGGCAAAGACTGTAACACCCAATATAGAAACCCTACGGCCTAGCTTTTATCTTGGAAACATGCTAGCTATGCAGTTACATCGTTGTAAACCAAACTTCACAAACAGGTAGTAAGCTTATAAGAGCAATGGAACTTTGTAAATATGAAACCAGATAGCTTATCCAAGAAAACAGGATAAAAGGGTGTGGCATATATTTGGGACCTGCAGGGACTGTTGCAATGCCACAGCTTCAACTAATATTCTGGTAATAGTAAATAAGTAGTATTTAAGTAGCGTCTTGCCAAGACAATGCAGATGGGAACCCAATGTCAGCGCCGTGGCTAGTATGCCTGACAACTAGCACAGCCTACTTTGTCAACCCCACACCACAAACTATCGATCGAAGAAGAAAAAGAAGACTCTTATTGAGTATAATATTAAGCGGCTTCAGCCTAACTCACGAGAATTACCATACGGCTATGGAATCAGAGTCTAGCTGCAATATGCGCGTCGTACTTGCGCACCCGCCCTGGACGAAAGCATTAAAACGAAATGTCTATCTGACATTACAGGGAGAAGAGCGAACACCATTTGGTCTATACGTTCAGCCTAGCGACACTATTACCGGTTTCTTCTACCTAAGCAAGCGGCTTTTCCGACTCAGCACCCTACCAGCGGAGCTTCAGTTTCATGTTCTTACCTTTTGCTCTGCTTCTACTCTCTTTCAGCTTATGAGAGTGTCCTCTAGTCTCCGAAAAGAAGCGCAGAAGCTCTTTTGGGCTTATTCAGACACGTACTTTGTGATCAAGGCACGTTGGCTCCTTGATGGTGGCTACGCTGGCTACACTAGCAACGATTTGGACTTTCTAGCCAAGGTGCAGAATATCCAGATTGATTGTGATCTTGGAACACGGCACCAAATTTGCCTAATCCGTAACGGCGCTAAGGAAGTCCAGCAAGATCGAATCAGACACTTCTGGGATGTGTTTCAAAGGAGGTGTCCAAGGGCAAAGAGGGTGATTATTAACCAGATTGAGGTATCGATATCAACAGGAAAGGGGGTAAATTGTCTTGAAAAGGCACTTCAACACCTAGTTCAATCATCACCCCCTGGGATTCTAGCCTCTGCATCTAGTGTCCAGGAAGCCGACGTTCCAGCAGATATAGGTGCAAGTGATCCATCTACACAGAATTTACAAATAGCAGTGTACCAGCGGTGTCCAGACAGTTCATGGAAGAAGAACAATCTAGGAAAACACTGGAAGGCAGTTCTTGTGCCCGCAAAGCGATTTTCAGGCCCAGTAGGACGCATTTACGAAATCCGGTATAGAGACTCACTTGAAGATATGAAATATTGGGGATTTTGGATTACTGTAGTAGAGGCTGTGGATCGCTATCATTTTGACAAGGGCAGAAACTGGCCGTTCTCTTGTCCATTGAAAGAGTGCGACGTGTATTTTCAAGAGGCAGGGGAGTGGACAAGGCACGCGTTAGAGTTTCACCCTCAGGGTTTGCTAGCAGAGTACTGTATTATTTCGTTTCCACGGGGTAGAATTCAAGACGAACTTGTGGATTATAGGAACGAGCTATCAGAGAATCATACAAAGAGTGAGGAAGAGACTAGAAAAATTCAGCAGCAGTGGAACAGAGCAGGGCAGGAACAGCGAAACGAGATGAAGCGTATGTGGCAGCAGCAGCTACGCAATGATCCAGCATGGGAGACGGGGGTAGAGGATTGGTCTAAGAACCGCATTTGGCAAGAAATAAATCAAATGCTTCAGGAAGGAGAGGCAAAGCTGAGTATTAAGAGTTGATTATAGATCTAGAGGGGTTATGTAAAGCGATGTATACTCGTTGAAAACATTTCAGCTCAAGACCACGACACAACAATTGCAATTCTGCTGTTCGGCGATAGCATCTTCACTCAACAAGGCAGGGAAATGAAAGTACTCGTGAGATTTGCTACGTACTTAGCTTGAGCACGAGCAATACCAAAACCTAGGCCTTCTCAGAACTGCTGTGAAAAAGCCTCATTCACTCAAGTTCAACTACTTTACAACACCTCTTCACACGCCTCATATGCAACAAACCCCCAACCCCCTTCCTTTCCCAAAAAAACAACAAAACAAATACACCCACACATACTACCCTTACCTCACCAACTCTCCCACCTCGCTTCAAGTATCTCAGTCACCCTCTCCAACCGTATACCCACCACGCCCGGTGCCTCCCTCGAATATCCAACCAGCGCCGCAAAAACAAATCAATGCCCCAGCGGCATGCGTGTTCCAAACTCGACCATACCGCTATTGCTCACATGGAAGACCCCGCTGGTTCCGTATCATCTAGCATCGGAGCCGCTGTATGCTCTTTCACAATCCTTTTTCGCGTGAAACTTTAATCAACCGTACAATCGCACATATGAAAGAGGGAAGGGGATGGGATGGGAAGGGGGGGGGGGGGNGGGGGGGAGGNNGTTAAAAAAGCTAGTGTAGACACCCCCCCCCCCCAGAATGGTAGTAGATGCGGTAAGTATTCTCAGAATTTCTTTTGGTTTCACCCTCACTTGTTGGCTGAAATGCATCTTACTAAAAAAAAACACTTCACTACTCTATTTTTTAAACAAGATGTATCTATCAACGACTCTATAGATTTTTTTTACCAATGCACAGCCACATGTACATTTGGCAGCACACACAAATGTTCCCTCTTAATGCTGAACCACTTACAGGGGGGAAAACGGAAATCATCTACACGATTACTCTTATACCTTTGAAAAGGCTAATTCATGCAATCCCCATCCCTCCTCCTCCTCCTTCCCACTCCACAACAAACTACTCTAATACTCATACACAAACACCCTCGTCGTCCCAACCCCCCCACAAGCATACACATCACCCCCACACTTAACCCTACAAACCGCATCACCCGCCTCCGTCAAATCCGCACTGAGCGTATTCCCGCAATAACAACTATGACCATCAGAAAGGCCGAAGAACTTTGAGCCGCGGCAAATGTGCTTGCACTTGTACGCCGTCATGTCTAGGTCTTTGATGTAAAAGTCCGTGAGAGCGCGCTTGGCAGTCGTAAAGTAGCATTTTTGGATTTTGAAGACGGAGGACTTGAAGGGTTTGAGTTGGGCTTCGAGGTCGCGTTGGGCGGCGAGGTGGCTTTGCTCGTTTGTTTGGCAGGTTTGTTGCGAGGTTTCGAGCTTGGTATTTAACTGTTGCTCACGCGAGATTGCATTTTCGAGATCGGTCTTCAAGGATTGCTCACGTGCGGTTGCAGTGTCAAAGTCTGTCTTTAGCTGCCGCTCACGCGCGGCTGCGTTGGCGAGGTCCGTCTTCAGCTGCGTCTCGCGTGCGGATGCATTTTCAAAGTCCGTTTTCAACTGCTGCTCACGCGCTGTGGCGAGACCGGCGTTGATGGCCAATTGCACAAGACACTGCTCCTTCTCTGCCTCGCACGTACCGCACGACGCATTTTCTGGCGCATCTGTAGACAGTGTCTGATTGAAGCGGATGCCGTTGGTACAGGTGCAATCGCAGCTTGGCTTTGCAGTTGAATCAACGCATTCTACAGAAGGTTTGGCACCTATTGTTACATTAGCCTTTTTGATGCATCATCAGAGAATGCAGAGTCGCACACCATTGCCACACGTGTATGAACTACGCATGGAGTCAGGAGTGCCAAGGTTGCGTGGCATGGAGCCCACAGGTTGCGGGGCCATGTAGCTATGCGCACTTGCGTATAGCGTGGAAAGAAAGAGGATATGAGAGGTCTTCATTGTGTGTAATTGTTTGGTGCTGGAAAGGATTGCTGCAGCGATGGATGGGTAGCGAGTAGATGTTTTATAGAGCAGTGATCTTGTATGCCGTTTGCGTATTACTTGTCCGCGTCATTGGCCGTCAGTAATCCTTTTGTATATCAACATGTTACTGTTTGGGTCAAGGTATTGCCTAGACGCCGGGTACTGTTAGTCGCAGCAGCGCATCGTGTGCGTAGAAACCTTTTGTCACTGACAGGTTCACCTTGCGGTGCAGCACGTAGAGATCCCCATTGCACTAGTCGTTAGTGTATTACGCACTGTTGAGTATTTGGTACAGTGATAAGCGTGTTTTCGGCAAAGGTTCTAGCTCCGGCGTGGTTCAACGGATGGTAGGTAGGCAGTGAGCGGGGTTCGGAAATGCCAATTTCATGGTTCGTATGCAAGTTGGTAGCTAGTGCGTCTTTGGGACATGTTATCCGTGACTATGCGTTTGCGGGAAGCTAGCAGGAGTTGAAGTTATCTAGAATGCTTTTTTGAGACTTGGACCTCATCCCATGCCTGTACCGGACAATGGTACTAGTCTCTTGTTTGCTTTCGGAATACTCGAAGATGGTTGATTTCCAAACTAAATGCGTTGGTATGAGCGACTGTATTCGTGTTGATGCTTGTGAGAGGACGCAGTTCTCAGATATAGAGAAGTCACTCCCTAGGTGGTCGGTCTTGCTGAAATGGTTTAGTGTAAACCGGGCGTCGCTCAGATCTACTCGAGCTAATAATTACCACCCTTACTTTTTATCAATTTGTATCATGATCATGATGGAAGTGGGTTTGTAGACTTTTTGTGCTGGGGACGTTATTTGAGGTTCTTTTCCTGCTGCCTAGGAGTGCTTTTGTGTAATGCTTAGTATTAGTATACAGTGAAAGTGTATCACTGCCATTGCCTATTTCGAATGTATAACTTGCAGTAGCACCAATGTAGCGCAATACATGATTTCAAACACCCTCTATTCTCCATTTTGTGAATCTACCCTATACTATTCTCTTTACCACAAGGCTGTGAAAACCATACTATTACGATTTCTCATCGTATACCGTACCCACTCACCTAACATACACACTCAAAGCCCAACCGCCCCCACACATGTCGTTGCTACCCAGGCACTTGCTATTGCACCTATTCTCCGCAATCTTAGCCGTATGCCCCACAAAGCTATTTCCGCAAAAGCATTGCTTATGATCCTCAAGCCCATAGTACTTGTAGTCTTTGCAGATAGCGGCGCACTTTTCACGCGTCATGTTCCACGCTTCGGTCAAGACGGGGAGCACGCGATTCGACGTGTCGCTGTAGCAGCCCTGGTATTGCGGCGGCGGCGTCTGCTTCGTCTGGCACGCGGTTAGTTGCTCTCGCAGTTCTTTCTCTGTTTTCAGGTGCTGTTGTTCGGTCTGGAGGCTGGATAGTTTGAGTGCGTCGAGTTCGGCGGCTGTCTGCTGTTCCTGAACCATGTAGGATAGTCTGATTTCGTTGAAGTCATACGCGAGTTGCGCCTCACGCAGCAGACATTCGTCTTTCTCAACTTGACAATCACCCGAAAGACGATTACTGGTCGAACCGAGGGAAAGGGGCTGGTTAAATTGAATGCCATTGGAACAAGTGCAGTCACAGTTTGCCTCTGATGACTGAGGAATACATTCTAGAGAGGGCGTTGCACCTGGATTTTCATGTGTGAGCTTCGATGAATACTCGATTGCATCTCAGGGGTTCCTTACCGTTGTTGCACGTGTATGATTGACCAGAGACATCAAGCGAGCCTAGTACATGCTGGGTGGAGTCCCCAACTGGTGGAAGGCCAAAGGCATGGATTCCTACGCAAAGAGAGGGGACGAACAGGGCCCAGGAAGAAGAAGGATGATAATGAGTTGTCTGAGTTGCTAACATAACTGCACTTTTATATTGCCTTCTCACGTGCCACAGCTCTTGGGTTCAGTACTTCATAGTCAAAGCTTATAATACCTTTGGGTCAACGTATTGCGCTGTCACCGCTAGTAGTAGTGTAGTGGCGTCTGTTGAGTTACCTAGAGTGCTTTTTTCGAACCTTGGCCTCGCTCTGTACCCGCCTTCACCAGTGGGTAGTGTTTTCTTGTTCAGGCTAAGCTTGAGTTAGTTGAAAAGATTAGCAAAAAGACAGCGGTGAATAAGTACGGTGTGAGTTCAGAGAAGTCCATATTGAAAGACTAAGCCCGAAGACTGAAAAAGAAGACCAAAGAACATGGGTGAAGATAAAATCAAGTTCAAGATACAGAATGCGAATAAGAATATGTCTAAGCTAACTCTTTCTTGGATGAATAGACAAGGCCAGTCAGATGTGTTTTTTTCCCTTTGCACACAACAAACGCCGTGAACCCCCCCGCTCATGCTATGCAAACATTACATTTACAGAATCCGGACATGGCTTCATATCCATTACCCATTCAAAAACAAACGTCGTACTCATGCTATGTGGCCCAGTCCTCCCAATCGCCTGTCTTCTTAGAGGGACGACCTTGTTGGCTAACGCTCTTTTTTCTTTGAGGGGCAGGATCCAGGAAACCCTCGGGGATATCATTCCAGTTCGATGTTCCTTTTGGGGGCGGTGCTAGCACGGGTTTTGTTTGCTGGGCTTTTCTCTGGTCTGCGGCTTGTTCATCACTGGAAACGTCATATTCGTCCTCGTCATCCTCTGAGGTGTAGTTGTATGGGTCAAACTTCTTTCGTTCGATTGGCTGGAGCTGGACGTCGTCGTCGGCGTACATGGCACGATCTCTTCCTAGGATTTGGTCTGCTTTACTCGGACTTCTCCGACCGTCAATGGGACCTCTTACAACACCGTTCGAGGTGGTGAGGTACCGGGTTTGCTCGCCATGGCGGACTGCTGACTGCCACTCGGGACGTCTTGCGGGTCGTGCGATGGGCTGACTACGCTGACCGGGCATCCATCCGTCGGGACCGCGAGTAGGGCGCCTGAATTCAGCTTCAGTAGGAGAATCAACCCCCCAGCCTGCAGCACGCTCACGCTGCTTTTGTAATCTTTCCTCTTGTTCCCTCTCTCGCTTTATGCGCTCACGGACGGCGAGCCACTTTGGACTGGGCTCCCAAGACCAGCCGTCTCCCGTGGTACTAGGTATGGGCACAAGCCATTTCAAGGGCGAAGGACCGAAAACATGGGCAAGATTACGTCGCCAACCCAGGTCGAATGCGTTGGGGAGCTGCTCGTTGTCGCGTTCGTCGAGGTAGTTGTCGTATCGATCCTGGTTCTGCTGACGTTCACGGTATTCGTACGATTGTTGATAGGAGTGGGAGAAGCCGTTGGCCTGACCGGGAACAGGGGAGCGTGAAGTAGAATGCGAAGGGGTTTCGCCTTCCTCGGGTCTTGTGACGCCTGGCAACACATTGGCATGGATCTCGCGTAATTGATCCCCTACGCTCAGTCGTCCGTTTGCTTGCGCATCAAGGTAATTTCTGTCGTTGAGCTGATGTTTCATCGTGGATCGCAGGGGGGACAAGTAGCGCGTCTTTTCCAAACTTTCAATGGTAGTCTGACCTTTTACTGTGAGCCACAAGTGCCAAGCGGTGAATCCGGTGATGACGATGCCAATGATGCCGGATAGCACGGCGAGGAGGACGTAGTTGACAGGCATAAAGGACTCGGTGTATTTGCCATCGCTGAGTATCTCGCTCCAAACCCATGTAGCCGACGTGGCAAAACATACCCAACAAAAGACGCTCAGGTATACGAGGAAGAGGACAAAGGCCTTGTAGTTGCGGAGACCAACACAGGTAGCGAGCCAGGGACAGTGGTGGTCCATTTTCAGAACGCAGCGCTTGCACGTGGAGCAATGGTGGGAGCGATCAGGTTTTTTGGTCTGGCACTTGTTGCAGAAGCGCAGTTCGCCGGTCGAGGCCTTTACGGTAAAGGACGTGTAGTGTATCTCGCCGCCTTCTTGCGAGGGCAGGTGGCTGTACCCATCTTTGATGTTGAGCGGGGATCCGGGGTCGGTGAAGACGGCGGTGGTGTAGCTCCAGTTGAGCATAAGGTAGAAGAAGAGGCCGAGGGCGGATGATGTTTTGCCTGGCGGACATGTGTTAGCAGGGGCGTGGGAGTATGTTGTTGGCGCGGCGGTGGTGTCGCATAAGCAAGGGCAACGACGACGACATACCCGTCCAGGCATTCTGCGAAGGCACGAGGCCGATGCCAGTCTGCACCCACACGGCCCACGAGGTGAGGCCGTAGACAAAGACAAGAGGGAAGTAGGTGACGGCGACGCAGCAGTAGCGCTCGACCTTGCGGGCCCAGCTGCGGCGGCGCATTGTTGTCGAAGGGGAAGATGGGGGCGAGGGCGAAGCCAGCGTGGCCATTACGATTGGGGCAGCGAGTGGGCGGGCATGTGGTGCGTGTGTGGCAACAGTGTGCGGGGGTGGGAGGGTGGACGAGTGCGTAACGTATGGTTCCCCTGTGGCTCTGTCGAGATGGGGGAAAAAGGGTCTCGGGCAGGGTGAGATGCGGAGGACGAGAAGCCGAGAAGGGTGGACGCCTAGTAGTTTCAGGGCGCAGCGGCGCACACCATGTCACAGACTACCAAGCCGGGCGGCGGCGGCGGCAGCGGTGGCAGCAGCAGCCTGGAACCAGACAAGACATGGAGGGTAGCGTGGCACTGCAGTGGGCGTGTGTGGTATGTTAGGGTGTACATGTGTAAGAATGGATGTGTGCTTGTGTAGTAAGTCTGTGTATGTGTGTGTGTGCGTGTAAGTAAGTATCCATGGTGGATTGGCCGGGGTGGATTTGGCCCTCGCGCTATCTCGAGCATTGAACATCATCCCACTACCACCATCATCGTCGTCGTCGTCGTCTTCGTCGTCGCGGCCTCGAATGCACGGGCCCCGGGCATCCCATCTGCGATCGGCCAGCATGGAACTGCAACCAACCATGCTTGGCTACGCCGTTTGCGCGACGATGCGGGACGAGCAAGGCTTCAAAAAAGGTATGCGCCCAGGGAAAGCAAGCCGCCGACTGGCTGTGGATGCCGAGGAGGAACATGGAGCCAAGTATATATACATAGCTCATCGGACATGAATCATCCACGGCCCTCGTGCCTGGGCGCCCTGGTTGCACTGCGCATCCATCCATGGCCCAAATGACGACAATCCCAGCTGAGGCCGTGGTAATCTAAAGTAGCCTGTTACACCCGTTACACGACGCCATGTCTGTGCTAGCTCCCGTTGGATGCGCTGCGACATTTAGACATGGCCGCCCGCCCGCACACACGCCTATCTCGGTCCTGCCTCTGTCGCCGCCATCCTTCCTCCACATGTCTCCTTCACACTCGTTTTTGTTCTTGTGACCCCAGCGTCGCCCCTGTGTTTCCTCCTCGCCAACCCCCGCGGACATGTACTATAATTCCACACGTGCGCCCACTCCACAAGGTCCAACTCCTTAGCCCGTCACCATGCTCGCCTCAAGAAAGCGCCCAGCACCGCTGCTCATCTTCATCCTCCTTGTCGTCCTTGGCCTCTGGTGCCACAGCAGAAGCTCCGACAGCGCCTACGCACAATGGCTATCGTCGGTTGAGTCGCACTCCGCCAAAGTCCCAGCAAACAGAACGCTGGGCTTCGGCACCGTCCTCGTCGTATCCAAAGAAGGGTCCGCCCGTCGACGGCCGCTAATCCAAGCCGCCAACGTCACCGAAATCGACCTCACCATCCCCCAACAGCCAGAGTGGACAGAAGGCGACGTCCAGCGCTTCATCAACGGCCACTCCAATACCCAAAAGGGCTCCATCTTAGCCTGGCTCGGCCATCACAATGCCCTGCGCTGGTATGCAACGGCCCCCAATTTCCTCCTCTCTTCTTCATGACCACCTGCTGACTCACTCCCTCAGGTTCCTGGATTCTGGCGTCGAGACGGCCCTCATCCTCGAAGACGACGTCGACTGGGACATTCGTCTGCGCAGCGTCCAGATACCTCTGGCGGCAAGTGCCACCCGCCAGCTCCTTCCCCCAGTACGCTCACGCCACCCCACCATCAACAAGAACCCAAACCGCACGCAGTACTGGGGTGATCAGGATGGGTGGGACATCCTCTACCTTGGCCACTGTGGCGACTACTTTGACGTCGTCGAAGAAGACGGCCCCAAGACAGATCGCCAGTCGTACAACTTGAGCTCCATAGCCCACAAGCTGTACCACGACCCCACCATGCCCTCATGGCTCGACTTGCATCCCTTTACCCAGGCTCTCTTCCGCCTGTTGGGCATGCCCGAGCGGACTCGCGTCATGCACCGCTCCAAACTACCTCTCTGCTCCTTTGGATACGCCGTTACCCGCCAAGCTGCCGAACGACTCCTCAACGATCTTGCACCCCCCAAACTTAAAAAGAACGGAGCCCGCGCCTTTGACGTCGCCCTCTTGCACGCTTGCAACAAGGGAGAGAATACTCCTTCCCCAACGCCCGAGTGGCAGCACCCTAAGAATTCGCCCGATCCCAAACTACGAAGCAAATACCCGAGCCCCGGACTACGCTGCTGGACACTGAATTCGGAGCTGTTCCACCACATGCCCGGTATGAGCGAAATTGACATGTTGAGCGCACTGTCCGGCGAGAAGCCTGGTCTGCCGCCGGTAGATCGTGCTGCCCAAGCCCAGGTCGTCTCGCGAAACGAAACTACCAACATCGACTGCGGTTTCTGGAGCGGCGCCTTTGCCTTCGACAACAATGATACGGAGCGCCTCCACTTCCTACAAGAAAAAGTTGGGCGGCAAGGTGTCTGTCTCAAAGACAAGAAACAGCATGGAGACGCGTTTTATCCGCCACAAACTGCCCTAGACTAACGGGACAAGAACGTCGTGTACATATATACTATATTTCATTACGAGCACACACGCATCTTAGCACAATACCCAGACTCCATGGAGCACATGGACAAATGATTACAGGCGTTTACGGGAATTGCAGGGCACATTGGCTACGAAACAATTGGACATTCGGCGTATACGGTTATGTTTCTTTCTCTTCTCGATTCCGGGCGAAATGCCAGTCAGTACGCATGCGAGTGGCAGATTTGCTCACCGCAACCTTTTTGGACTTTTTGGATTCTTCATTTCAACCACTTTTACGACGGCGGGACCCTTGATACCACAGCGCAAACCCTTTGAGATTCCCAATTCCCCCCCTTTTGGCAGAATAGAGAAACCCCTGTTTTTTGTTCATAGAGAAACACCTAGCATATCATTGAATAACAAGGAAAAACAAAACAAAAATCAACATTACCACCGAAGTGCCGCCTCTACAAAACCCGCATGCCATGACTCTCTCCGCTCAAATTCATATTTAACCTTTTTGTCTCCATTACAATCTAGGAAATGACATTCGTGCACGCTCCCTCCCCCGGTTAAAAAGTCCGCGAACAAAGAAAAAATGGGTTTTCGGCACTACTTTACGCTGACCTTTTTTTTTGTACATTACGTATCCATTCCACATTAACTCCATTTCTAAAGGGTTTTTTTTGTTTCCACAACCCACCATGTATCCATTCTACGCGCATCCTCGCATCAAGAAACTACGAAGGCATAGACAAAGGAAATGAGAGAGAGAGAGAGAGAGAGAGAGGGAGACATGACCGCATAATCACCGTCAGCAACACTAAAACAAAAGCACAGGCACACAAATTTATACTAGGCTTGCAGGCGAGCTGAGCGATAAGGCAAGAACTGCCGCGCCTTCTTTGTTCGGCCCGATGGGAATGGCCAATGGCATACATGCACACACACACACACCGGTATACCTTTGTCTCTCTCCGCGGTTTGCGTACTTTGTGTAAGGTACTTACTCGATTCGCATAGATGGTTAGTTTGACGAGGAGGAGAAAAGGCGGTGAGAGGTAGCGATGTAGACTGAATCAGTGGTTTGTGGGGTTGATTTGGAGGTTTGGTGTGAGTGATGTCTAATGTAGAGTATGGGTTTGGTGGATCGAGGTTCTTTTTGGGGTGGGGGGTTACATTGACGGGAAGAGGGTACGGATGGAGTAAGTAAGCAGCGGATCCTTGGCGTTGATGGATTGTTTCATTCTGGAATTGGGGGGGGGTAGTGGTTAGGTATTGGGTTTATCCGTGTGGAGCTAGGTCTGTGAGAGGAGATGCATGTGAGTGTTTTTGTTGAGGTGTGTTTGAGGTTGCGGGTATTGATCCTGGGGAAGAGTGGGAGTGATGGGTTGGAATTGGCGTGGAGTCGGATATAAACCAGGGGTTTCTTTCTTGGTGCATGATTGGAAACTTACTTTAGGTTATGCTTAAGTGAGGTAAGAATGGGTCGTGTGGATTGTGGGGAGGGAACAGGTGTTTGGTATAAACTTTATTAGTGGGTATGGGTGTTTTGGGTTAGGGTACGGAGTTTCAGGGCGGAGGCTTGAGTTGCTAGTGGTTTGTATGTTCTGCTTATGTTAGATTCCCATACTGTCATATTGCTATACATTTCTTTCAACTCGTTTTACCTGCATATGCAGCATGTCGTCGAGTACACCGCGTCATCTTCATAACAGTCCATGTAACTGCGTTGTTGTATCTCAATAACTGCTCCATAGCTAACTATTGCTACAAGTAACGCCATGATATCCTCCAAATAAAAAACGCTTCGTGAGCCTCCTCCTCAACCATCATCTCGGTCTTCACTCTACAAACTCACTTCCCATCACTGAATCACTTCCCGACCAAACATATGCCCCTCACCTATCTGTTCTCATATCCACCTCCATAATCCTATTCCAACCCTGAACTTCCACGTGCTCCAACAACTTATACAGCGCCTCACCCCTTGAAAACCCCATCACAATGTCTGTCAAAAGGTTGATATTCCCGTACATATTGCCCCCGGCGCAATTCGTGACCACGGCCTTGTAAAGTACTTGCCCGTTGCTCAGTATCTGGCGTCCGAGTTGCACGGTGGCGCCGGTTGAGGGTGGCCAATTGGATTGGACAAGTAAGTTGATGAATTGCAAGGTGTTGAGGTCCAAAGCGGAGACGAGTGCAAGGGGTCGATCGCCCGTGATTGGAACTGGTCGGTTGGACATTTTGAGTGATTGAATGTGGACGAGAGGAATGCTTGGAAAGGGAATTGAGCGGTGGTTCAAAGTGATGGAAAGCTATTCCATATAGTGCTTGGTGGAGCGACTAATTATCAGAACGACTTCGTGTGCTGTGCATGTGATCATATAGAGTATGTTTGTTGGCTTGACAAGCGAGGTAAGTGGGCAAGTGACTGTATATGATTGACGCAAACATATTAGGGTGATAGATGATGTAATGGTCTTGGAAAGTCACGTTGTTTACAACCTCGTAGACACGCATCCTGAAACATGTAAGTGGGTTATGACACAGCTAGAATATATATTCTAATTGTAGCTATGGAACGTAAATCATGGGGTAGTTCAGACCCATTATCACAGCTTAGCTTTCTCATCCAACAACGGTATACCAACAGCCGCTTCCAACTCCATCACCGCCTCCCTTGTCTTGCCCAAATTGACCTTGATAGTCCTTAGTCCCGTCTTCTTCGCAAACTTGAGATTGATTCCAATATCATCCAAGAAGAGCGTATCACCCGCCGTCACTTCTCCCATGCCCTTCTTCTTTGCAATCTTATCCATCTCCCTTACCGCCAGCTTATATGCCTCGGGATCGGGTTTTCGTACACCAACGGCAGCCGAACCGAGGAAGACGTCGAAAAATGAGGTGATGTCTACGGAATCATTTGCGTAAGGATTCGGCGGCGGCGCATGTACGATTTCCTTTGTGAAAAGGGCGCCTTCATCGTCCAGAATGCCAGTAGGAAACGTGACGTTGTTACTGAAAGCGCCAAGTACGAATCTCCCGCTCTCGCCCAGCTTGCGCAGCGCAGGGTACATGTATGGATCCGGTGTGCGACTGATCTTCATCATGCGCCAGAACAGCCTCTTGGCATCAATGTTGGGCACTGCCGGTGTTCCTCCAGCAACAGCCTGACCACCCCCTACGCTTTGTTTTTTTGCCAGCTTTTGCAGATATTCCGACCATACTTCGGGGCGCGAAAGTTGCTGCTTAAACGATGCGAACCAGGCGTCATTGAGTTCGACTTCGCCCCGTTCAATCAGCTGCCATGCACCAGTGTCGTGGGGTCCTTTTTGAATCGCATAGTTGATATAGCCGACTGGGATCTTGTTCTCGATTTCATAGTCGAGGATCGCTTGGAAGGGGCTGACAACCTATGTCAAGTAGAGAAGTTAGCATATATGTTTGTTGTTAATGAGAATGATTGTTGGCCACGTACGACTACACCGCCAATGTCGAACAGGATAGCCTTTGGGGGTTTGGAAGGAGCCGACATGTTTGTGAAGGAAGTAACGAAATGTCAAGCCTGGTTATGACGACTTCATGGCGGTCTGAAATGCGCCATGGCTATTGTTAGAGGTTGTGGAGATCGAGGTACCTCGGCAACGGATAAGCTTCCCTGAATCGCGTTAAGCCTGTTGCCGCTAGCGCCGATTGTGGAGTGCAGCTGCAACTAAACACTCCGGAGCCGGCTCCACAGACTATATACATACTAATAACTGTAGATGTATGTGGAGCTATGACGTGATATGCTTCGGTACCTGGGAGAACTCAATACGGCTGCATGGTTCACGATGCCGTAAGCCTCATGTCGGCATGAGGAACCATAATAACAATGTAATGTGGGTAAGGATGAGACAAGAATACCGTTTCTTGTCTGAATGCCCAAGTGAGCTTTGATCAACTGGAAAGCGAAAAAACAAAATTCCAAGAACCGTCTGACACATGATCTGCAAGACATATTCGTGAAGACAACCCTCTCCACCCAAGACACAAACCCCATCAGCTCAATTTATTTCCTCAATAGCCGCAACAACGTCACTGTTCCCTTGCACCGATCTTTGGCCTACCCAACACTTTCCCAAGTGATTTGCTTAAAGCTCTACGGAGGCTTTTGGATGCACGTGCATCTGGCTCGTTCCGGAGACATTGCTTATGCCGCTCATACATGTCGACGACCCGTGCAGCGCCCCTATCGTGATACCGAAACAACTCTGTTTCAATGAATAGGGCGATATATCCTCCAGCAGGCTGCATGTTCAAGATGTCGAATTTGACAATGTTGTGCAAGACAGCATCGATCCAGTCAGGTGATTCAAAGGCCCAGATGCTTTGCACGTCAATCTCATTGACTGGCTCATTCTGCAAGCGGTATTTAATGTTTTCACAAAGTGCTTTGGCCTCTGTAGTGTCGATACGCGTTAAAATGCGGTAGGTCTCGACATCGTCACTGATGGTTCTATTTACCGAGACTGTGTCGGCCTTAGATGTGCGATTCCCCATATGTGGGATCTTAACTAGGTTACGTAAATGGAATTTTATTTCTATGGAGGATGAATCCTTGTGGGATTCAGTTAAGCAGAGAGGTTCAGAGGTCAGAGTTGCGTCTCTTGAGTAGAGGAAGGAAGATGCCTGCTGGGAGAAACACTTTTATACAAATTGAAGAGGCTCGACATTGTGAAGAAAAGCGCACAATGTCAGTCCAGACATGTCATGTCTGATGATTACACCAATGAAAGTGTTTTATCTCTCCGCGGAAGATGGCAAGTGGGTGTTTTCTGAAACAAGTCGACAGAGACTTGGTACGGTCCTCGGTCCATTTTAAATGTCTTTCACTGTTGCTGTGGCATTCAATCTTTACATACAGATTTGGGGCATATGGAATCAATGATATATGTTCTCATCAGATGCCCAAGACTGCGAGATTTGATCTTTCAAAGTTCATTCGCAGCTAGAACTCTGGGCCCAATCAAGTTCCCCAAATCATCTCGTAGGCAAAAACCGTACGGCGAAGGAGTTCATCCTGCTAGAGTTAGTAATGTCTCGGAATTTATAAACTGACGGGACTTACCCCTGGATCTTCCTCGAACATGACCTTGTCCATTACCTTCTCAAACATCTTCTTTACGGTGAATCCAGCATTTCTGGCTAGATCAAAGAACGCCATGTCCTTTTCGTATAACCAAGGTCGGTAAGGAGAGAAGAAGACAAAGGCCCGAGAGGTGGATGACTTTTTCAGTGTCAACTCCACCGTCTTGATAAGCTTTTCATGTTCCGAGTGGTTGAAAAGAAGGTCAGCCAAGATCAAAACATCAAAACCTGAGTCATTATCAAGATGCTTCGTCAGATCTTTGATGGGTGCACCCCAAAGGTAGCCCTGCGCACTTGTCAGTGAAGTCTGTCAAACCTAATAGCGGCTACGAACCTCGGCCACAATACTTGGTGGCTTAGAGAGTAGCTCGCAGTGGTCTATGTTGTATCGCAAGTTATCGATTAGGTCGGCATCAGGGTAGTCAGTGACTACCGTCTGTGCAGCACCTTTGAGCGCACAAACGAGACTAGGAAGTCCCGCTCCGGCGCCTAACTCCAACACAGTCTTGTCTTTCACAAGTTCATCTGCATTTTCTTCCAGATATATTGAGATTGTCCGCCCCGCATTCCATAGGAAGTGGCCCTGATTATTTCAGTGAGTATACGTTGAAAGAGTGGGGCAGCCAGAAAATCTATAGTATGGACTGGCAGGCTGATGAAAAATCCAGGAGAACTATTGTTTAGAAACCGAGCATGGATAGAAGTTCCATGCTGTGTTTGGAACTATTACTGTATGAATGGGGTCTTACCCACAATGGATTGTGTCCCACGAGCCGGACAGTAAGATCTTTGCCGGAAAGCAGTTTGTGAGAGGCAAAAGTTGCCTGTTTTTCTGGCTGGTAGTAATCAGCGGGCTCCTGGAATAGGTCCAGCCCCTCATCTTCAGCGTCTGATGTCATGGTGAAAAGAACGACGTTACGAAGGGAATGTCTTGGCTCGTGATTGAAATTCGGGTAATCCAGAGCGATGAGCCACAGGCAAGGTCACGTGCTCCACTAGCCACCCCAGCCACACTAGCCATCCGAGCCACCATCTTGTCTACTTGATTGGGCAGCTTTCCAGAACACCATCGTCTGGACTAGCAGACGGCTTGTCGTCATGGGGTCAGGGCAGTTTCAAGCACATCGTATAATCTTTTCACCCCTAGCGAATCTCGCCTGTTGTTGCATCCAGTGTCACTCGGACTTTGGGTAAGTTTAGGGCGGCTCGAGTAGCGTGGAGGTGTTGGCGCCACGATGGGTGCGCACGCTGCCGCCCAAGTCGAGGGTAACAGCTACGCACTTGCCCATGGTGGTATCGCAGTGCTCAAGTGCAAAGACAGGCCAAAAATACCCACGGCACAGCGACTCCATATCCCCACGTCTCAGTCTAATACCCGGTAGCCGCGATATGGTTTCCGTGGTCCCACAAACCTTCACCGGCAAAGCGATCCTCTTCGTGCCACCTGGTCATTCATCGCCACTTGCACACGCGCCGTTGCAACCGGCTCTCTTCCTCTTTGTAGTCCACCAAACGGCTTGTTGGCCGGCATTGCTTCTCTCACATGTACGTACCTTCCCTATCTACCAGATGTGAAGCAACTAAAGCCTCTTAGTAAGAAACTTGCTCACGCTAAGGCACTAAACCCAATCCATCTTCTGGCGACCCTCCCATCCACACACTTCACCACAACCCTTTGAGCGCCAACCAGAGATCTCCCGCGCCTTGACGCCGTGGCTCTAGGACCTTCATCGATGCACCACGCGAGAAACTGACTGCTGTATCTGTTCTATGGCCTGACGGTCAGGTGCTATACGCCACAATCCACGCTGTATCTGAACAGGCCAGCCATTCCCGGACAACTTATGCTGGGTCATTTGCTTGTTAACGTGGGTTCTTACTGCTCTGCTTCCGTTGCTTTTCCTCGGTACATCTGGCCCCATTACATTGCTCCGCTCAACCCCGGCGTAGGCCGTGCGTACCGACCCGGCTTTCAACCGCTTCCTGCTCACAATCGCTACTGCTGCATGAAGCACTACCACACTCGCGTTTAGTGGCCGCTATCCGTCGGTAATTTCCAGGATTATCGACCCTCCAGCCATCTGGAACTGGACCCTTAACAGATCACACATGCCAGGTCAGATCTGGCATCCAATCTACTTCCTCACATCCGGACGGTCAAGCTGACCACAGTCGAGCCCGTTGGCTATTGCCCCCGTCGACAAGGGTCCCTTACGCAGGGTTCTTGGTTACATCCCGCGCCACACGCCACTGTACCCCTCTGTAACCCGCTCGCACGTGTGCGTGCGTGGTGGACGTTCGCTCTTCCAACCCACCAGCAACTTTGTTCTTTGATACCGGATCCACTGCGTTACTGGTCGTCACTTGCTGCAGACTGAGCAAATTTCCTCTGGAATCATTACAACCCCCGCACCATGTGGGCCGAAGTCAACGGAGAGCGTAAGAAGGTGGCCTGGTAAGTTTTCATATCTCGGGGAGCTTGCTATCGGTTTTTCCTCCTGAAAACTCTGACTGCATAATCTCTTGCATGCGTACAGCCTGCGCCAAAGATTCTCTGAATATGCAATATCCCACCTCTCAGGCACGCGGCGTACCCTTTGACCGCACTCCTTCACCGTGAAGAGATACTAACCTAATCCAGTGGCCCGTGCATCCGCGGTCATCGCTCCTCGAAATGCGACCACAGAGACCGAGTACTGGTTGAGGTTCGGAAGCCTGGTCGACCTTTGAGTAGCTGCCCGCATCCGACTGGTTCATGCAGCTGCGAGCGTGTTGTTATCAACTACACGATCCCCAAAACCTCACAATGCGCCTGTCCGTCCGAACGAGAGGCGCCCACAGCTACCATTGTTGGAAATAGTCGAATATCAAAGGGTAGACGAAAATCTACGGCCGTCACCCCCTTTTACCTAGACAAGGCTATCCGAGCCGGTCTAGACGCCGAAACCGACGCCTCTTCGAACACACAAACCCCTTCCGAGACAAGCGGTAGCAATGCCCCATCCCTACCATCAAGTGCAAGCTCAACTCCACGCCTACTGCCTGCTCAAAGTGAATCCATCTCGAGCTGTTGCAAGCCGAAGCTGGCGTTGGCGCCAGTTCAGACAGGAGGATGCTGTGGCAATAAACCCAATCCAGCTCCAGAGCCGCCAGTGCAGAAAAAGTCTTGTTGTTCTGGGCCATCCAAGCAAACACATACAAGTTGCCAGCCGAATAGTTACCAACATACCGGGCAATCATTTCAGTTCCCGCCTCAACCTCCAGGAATATTGCCACCACAGTATCAGATGTTCTCTCCTCAGGCAATGTCGCCCACTACACCAAACCCTTTTGGCCTTGGTACACCGATCTATAACCATGCGGCAGCGGCTTATCATCAAAACAACCCAGTACCAATGAGTCCAGGAGTGAACACGCCCATGTCACCGCATATGAACACTTCTTCGGTTGGCCAGCATGGTCCTGAACACAATTGCCACTGCGGTGAATCATGTAGCTGCTTCGGATGCGCCGCCCATCCGAACAATGCCACCATGATGGAGTATGTCAGGGTGATGGCTCACTTTCAGTACACTGGCGGTTTTGGAGGCATGGTCCCACCTCTTTATGATATGCCAACATACCCTCATCAACTAGGTTACGGAGCTGAAGCTGGTCACAGAATGAGTTACGACGCAATGTCACAAGGCATGACAACGCCTACCCCAACACAAATGAGCTTTCAGGCCGGTCTCAACTTGCCGGCAAAACACAGCCAATCCATGCCGATACCCGGAAACTGGCAACAGCCACTCAATACAGTACCCGACATGTCACAGGTTCCCTTTTTGAGAAATATTAACTATGCTGCTTCTACTGCTGGCGCCGAAAACCACATACCTTTGAAGACCGAGGAAGGAGCAGGTTCACCTGCTGCTGATAGCCCTAGCGACAGCAAAGATGAAGATACCCCCACTCTTTCGCCGTCATCATACTTTTGGAATGAGATGACTTTGCCAGGCTGCTCAGATGCCTCGGGAACTTGCCAATGTGGGGACGGATGCGCATGTGTAGGCTGTCTAACACATGGCGGCCATACTGGAGAGCAGCTTGAGGACATCTCGACCGCGGAACAAAACGCTTTTCCCAATTTTACCCCTGATCTTGGCCTCAACATGAACGATCCAACGGATTTCATGAACTTCCCAGTAGGCCCTAGTTCAACCATGTAATTGGGGATACGCGCGGTTTTACCGTTGGTATCGACACAAGTTAGTTCATGTAACTGGTCGCTCTGGAATACCAGACACTGCTATCCATAACACTCGAAACGCAGACGTCACCTTCTCCGTCTTCATGGATTCATACGCTTTAAGCAGTTTGTATCCTACTCCAAAAGTCCTTGAGACCGTCATAAGTCATTGGCAATGAAGTTGCCAACGATGGTACCCAACGGATTCAACAAAAAAAAAGTCTACTCTGGTCTTGCGCTTAGTCTAAAAGGCTTTGCCTACATGGAATCGAAGAACATCCAGACTGTAAGACAAAACACGGCATCGAGACTCGGCCCAACAATCCCTACTCCAACCTTATCTCGACTCCTTCATACTTACAATGCTTTGTTTGCTTCCTGTGTATGTTTGTATGTCACACAGTGTGGAGTGACTGCGGGTTGGTTTGTATACATACAGAAAAGAGCGTTGAACGCAAATATTGTTCTGCGGGTCGGAGGAACTTGTTTTTGAAACTGCATTGTTTGCTTTTTTTTAATCTTCATACCGATACGATACCCTGCGCGTTGGGCGCGAGACGTGGGAGGCCGACATGTTGCCATGATTATCCTTTTCAGAATACATGATTTATATCTTCAATCCAAAATCCAGACGTGTTCATCTACCTCTCTTACCTGCCAACAGTGATTTTACATGCAATACTTTTCATGCGCAAAACTCTTCATGCAATAGAAAGATAGGAGATGGCTAACTGATACCATTCACTATAGAAGAGGCATATCACCAAACCCTACCTCACTTACCACTAGCGATCGAAAGCCATCCATCTTTCTCGAATCCGAAATGATCCATTGCCAAATAACTCGTCATCCACTCTCATGCTAGTCCGAATAACGCCCTTGCAGAAGAAAAGAAATTTTGTACATGAACCTGATGAAAGAAAACATGTCTGGGAACCTACCTCAAAAGAGTCTCAAGTCCTCCAAAAGATCCCGTCAAAATAGTTCGTCACAGTCCCTTGCAACTTTCGACATGGCAGAAAGTATGGACCAGAAAGACATGAGCCAGATCGGTGACTAATGTAACAGTAGTAGAAAGAGGGAAAAAATGTTACAAGAAGATATGACACTCTGGCAAGCGTGTCAAGGAGAAGAAAGTGGCGGTGAGAAGGCTAGGTCGGTGCACGAGGCGACATTGGATGTCACTATCCTTCCGAAAGTACCACAGTAAGGTCTCCGTGCCTGATAGCAGCCTAGGATAGAGAGTTAGTTCCGTGCGGCGGACAATGAAGGTATGACCTACAGTGCAGCCACGATCTGGATCCTCCCAACACTGGTCACCCTCACACCATTGGTTGGTGGCGCTCTTGTACCTGCATGCCGAGACGACGCCATCTCCGACGAACGTGATATCGTACCCGAGCCGTTCCTGCTTGCACAGCTCATTTTGCTTCAAGCTAGAGAAACCCTGCTGAACAGGACCGTCGTCAAATGAAGTGCCGAAGACTGCTGGCGCCCAGTTGCCTTTACCTCCCATCTCCGTACCCCAAGTGCAGGCTTCGTCCTCAGGTACGCCTTGCTTGTTAACGTAGTACTGGGCCGAGGTCCTCTTGCCCTGCCAGAAGAAGTACGTCTGCTGGTCGGGGTTGGCAAGAAAACCGGTCTGACCTGGTCCAACAGTAACGGGAAAGGTCATGGATTCAGTACCTATTCATGTCAGAATCAACCATCCCCCGTATCAAGAATACTAACCTGGATAGTCAGTGCGACAGAATGATACAGTCTGCGATAGGTTGTTCTGCACCTTTACACCCATCTTCTTGGAGCCTGGGACGCATAACGTATCGGCAATCTTACCATCAGCCATTTCCAGGTAGCCATCTTTGTTGCAGTACAGGCCACCCACAGTCTGGCCGTGTCTTCCTTGAGTGGATGGGAAGGAAGCCTTGAGGTATGGGTTTGGGCATCCATACGAACAGTACCTCCCTGGTTTGCAGCAAGTACCGTCCGAACACGAGCCCTTGACAACGGTCATAATGTCATCGAAACCACCAGATCCTACATATTGTGGGTCCTGTATGCCGGACCATCCACCTAAGCCTTCATGGTCGATGGGTAATGCGCCATACCCGTGGGGAAACTCGGTGCAAGCGATCTCACCGTTCGGGAATACCTTATCGCATTCAGCACAATGCCCATCTTTGTCGACCAAGTCAATCCAAGGGTTCGATGGAGTATCTGGCTGCTGTAAGACTGGAGTATCTGGAGGAGTGACACCGTCTGGTGGTGCCTCAGTTGCAGGCTCTTCCGGCTTAGCCTGGGGATTGTTGATGGGCTCTTCGGGATGGTCGTCAACAGGCTCTTCGGGGTGATCTTCGTCTGGCTCGACTTCTACAACTTCTTCGATTGCCGTACCAGGACCGATCTCCGTAGCCTGCCCTTCGCAGTCAGGGGTTGGCGGCGAAGTAGGCAGTGCGACATGTGGATCGGTTGTTGATGACAAGATGTTGCCCGGCCCCCACATCAAAGTGCCATTGGCGATACCTTCACGAACCTCATCTTCAGAAATGGCATGGTCATCGAGCCAGTACACGATCTGCGTCTCGGTCGCGGCCGGGGCATAGACAATGTCGCGTTTGACCGCGTTTTGAGAATAGGCCCGTTGGTGCAAGTGATGCGGTTTAGCTGACGTGACTGCAGCGAGCGCGGTAGCAGTAACGATGTACTGAATCTTCATCTTTCAGTCTCGTTTTGGTGTAATGGTTTTGCGACAAATGGCTGATTAATCCAGCAATTGGAGGTCAGTTTTGCAATGAAGTTGGGCAGTGTGGTATAGCGAACCTGTTCTGTCCCTCGAAAGAAGCACTTCAAGTCAGCGCTCAAATCTCGCGGTATTTAAAGCAATGTTTGCTCGCTTTGGTCTTGCTTGGGTCCGCGTGTGGGGCGTCGAAGTATGCTGATAGTGTTTAATGAGTGGAATGGAGATGGAGCTCCAGGTGTAGGCACAAAATAATGGCTGTGACGGAGGGAACGACTGAACTGAGTGTGAATGATGATTTGTGAGCAGGATTTGTAGAGCGTCTCATACAGGGAGGTAGGGGACAAACGCAGTTTGTTTGTATGCCTGTGCCAAGACACGCCTTCGCTAGTGGACTACTCTGTTTGTATAGGAGGAAGGAAGGAAGCAAGCGGCGCACAATAGATGGCTATTACCCCTCTCAATCAATTGGCAGTTGCCTATTTGAAGATTGGAAAGGAGCAGCGGGCTTAAGAGGCCCATAGTCACCTCTCAAGCAGGTGAAAAAGAAGTGACTGCGATTGTAGAAACAAGTGGGACGGAATGAAGGACGAGTAAAAGAAATTGACTCTCGTCTGTATATGTCTCTTCATACGTCTATTCAGGCGTATGGCTTCAATTTATCTACTGCATTTCCAGTCTGTCAGACTGTGCGACTGTCAAGTATACAGTTCTTGGCTGTAAAACCATGGTTGCATAGCTTCAGGACCAAGCATCAGCCTGTCGCGTAGTGAGAGATAAGAAACCCGCCAAATTAAATTATTTCATAGGACAAAAGTTAGTTTCCATGTGGGTTAGTCTTACGTGGATAATTTGTGCAACACTGCCCCTGAGCTAGCTCATGTCCAACCACATGCCCACATATTCCACGAGCGTGGATTGTCGCACCAGCAACCGTCATAGTCAGACTATTCTGCTTGTTTCTTGACGTCATATTAGCAAGATTTCTTCTCAAAATTGTATTTGTAATCTTCATTTTGCATAGCGGGTGTGAATGTAGGCAGCCTAACGCTATTCTATCACCACCATGTGCATGCGTCTTGTTGGTATAGAGAATAGTAGAGGGCAGTCAGACACGATATTCAGCACCAACTGTGAACCATAAGATATAATGACCTTTCTCCACCCTCACATGTGTTGCAAAGAACGTGGTATTGCGCGACTCAGTGCATGTGCACCCAGTTCGATCATACCTCTTTCAGCCAGCACGCCAACCGGTCAATTGAGCAGACCAACCCAAGTTGACCCACGACGAAACTGTATACTGAATCAAACTACGTGGCGAAAGGACTACCAGGTACTCCTTGAAGCCAATGTGCCGCAAACCTCATACTTTCATGTAGCCCTGTTGTCATGTTTTGCAAAGCCTTGGCATATACCGTGTTAGGTGGTTGCAAGTGATAAGATGCCACGTTATCGGATACAGCATAACACAATCAAATGTGATGACGCTCATGATAAGGAAATGCAGAAAGGTGGATGGTGGATCCAGGCGTGGAATTGGAGTTGATTATGCAGGCATTTCTACAATGGACATTGAAGTAACAGGAGGTATTTGCGACCATGCCTGTTCTCACGCAGGCCTGGTGTAACACAGCCAACTTCCATTCCGAAGTGGCTCCTCTGCAATCCATGTACTAGGAACAGTAGTAGTGGCCGATAAGATTCAGTCCTCGAATAATGATAGTTTTTAAAACTATGTACAGAATATCAAGCCATATTGGCGACAAAGAGCGCCCTTTTGTTTGCCATCTTGACCCTAATGATACAATGAGCCAGCTGCCCTATCAGAAAGTGCCCATCTCTCGGACTGATACAAGGCGAGTGGCCTAAACTAGATGAATGTAATTCGCGGGAACACTGCGTACGACACCATCTTTTTCTACATCTGCCCACCCGTCGCCAGCGTCCATATTAATGAGCACGAAGCGGTCTCCTTCTGCCATGGAATGCTCCACGTCGGTTTGCGCAGTGTAATCATATAGTGCTTCGACGTATTTGAGCTTCTTTGCGCCACGTTTTGGCGCTACAGCTGGGCCCTTCTTCTTAACGGGAGCGGCCGAGTTCAAATTTGATGTCGACGCAGAAGATGCAGAGTATGTCGAGTCTGGGCGCGCTGATGAGAATGTAGAGGCTGTAGTGGGTGGAGTTGCTGCTATTATCTCCACATACGCTGCAGGAACGAGGCCTTCTTTGAAGCCAGCGCGAACCTTGATCCATCCAGATCCATCTGGTAATAATATATCAGTAACTTGAACTTAAGTGAGAATCACAATAGACATACCATCAGGTTCTAGTATAGTGACATCAGTACCCTCAGACACGGTCACCTCGCCATCGCCGTTTTCTTGGTAAGCATACAGCATTCTGCCCTTTGGTTCAGCAGATTTTGATGTGGGAGTCGGAATATCGTCGTCAGCCTTGATGTATTGGGCAGGTGGGGGTGCGACTATCCGGTTCCTCCTAGGACCTGGGGCTGGCGCTGGTGCTTTCTTTTCTGGAGGCGGGGGGGTTTCTTCGACGGTCGGCGACATGGCTCCTCCGGCTATCGATCGCTGTGCGGTTGCTGAGTAGCCAGAGCTCAGCGTGTTCATCGAGTTCACTGTATCGCTCCTTCCTAGTCGCGGCATTTCTGCACCCAAGCTCGTTGCGGTACCGTTCGTTGCGGTTACAGTGTGCGCAGCCTTCTGTCGTTCATCCTTCAGTTTCTTCTTCGCTTCTTTGGTCTGTTCTCCAGGGCAGTCTGCAGGGACCTTCATCTCGCACTTGCTATGGCATGTGTAACCACAGTCTTTACAATCGAAGCCTTTTGCAGATAGACCCCATATCCGATCCCCGCAGAGGTCGCAATTTGTAGGTATCTTGAATGTTTGAGATTTGAAGTTGTGGTTTCTTGCGCCAATGCTAAGATCACCCACAACGGAAGTAATTGTAGAAACTTCGACTTCGGCGCTGACTTTCTGGCGCTCGACTTCATGCATCGCTTCCTGTATCGCAAAGATGGCGCGAACAATTTCCACCTCGTCCCTCTTATCCTTTCCTTCTCTTACTTTTTGTCGTACCGCTTTAGCATTCTCTACCTCCTTGCGCTTTTTCTCGAGCTCCCGTTTATGCTCTCCCAATGAAGACTTTGACTTTGTAAGTACGTTGCGCAAGAACACGGTCGCGGACTCGTCGACGGCGATATTGGCATCGTCCAACCACACAGGACTGGGCTCAAATTGGAAATCGCCTGGCTCTTGCCATGGACCGGCATTGTGTCGCACAAACATCATAGAGTCAAGTAAGGGGTTGTTGCGCGGAATCTCGCCAGCCAGATGCTTCATATACTCCGTACTTCGGGTAAGCGTTTGAGTCTCGATCTCTGCGGCAAGCGACCATATAGTATTTAACTTGTGGACTCGTGTTTCGGAAAGATCTTGCAGGCTCTGCGATGGTCAACAGTGCCCCGAATTGTCCGTGAGGGTACTTACATCTAGTAGCTCAGGAACATACTCATGGTAGTACATCGCCTTTTGCTTGTTGGTCACATTAATGCTAATCAGATAAGTGTTCTGTGAGAGATCAGCAATCGAACACCAAAACTTGGTGCGCGTCACCTACTTTGACATTGCGCATTTCGACTTGCTGTTGCTCAAATGCATTACGAGCCTTTGCTTTGCCATGGTCGAACGCAGTGTCAACTTTCTTGCGCCGACTCTCGACCTCCTGGCAGACGCTGTCATATTTGCCCTTTTGTTTGCGCAACTCCGCGTATTGGTTGTCCCTTTCTTTTTCCAATTTGGCTGCGTAGTCTCCGTGAAGTTTGCGCAATTCTTCGGTCCTCGTTCCAAGGACCTTGAGGGGGTCAGCCAGTTGTGTAATGAGGGCGCCGGCGAATTGTTCATGTTCGGCTGCGCGAGATTCGAGAGTGCTCAACTGGACTCCCCATGTGGTCATGGAAGCGCTGGAAGCTGTCGTTAGTTGACCTCATGCCATGGCAGCGGAAGCCGTACCTTTCCAGAGAGCCGGGAGTGACCGTGGGGTTGTCGCCGACACTCAAGCTGCTCTGCTTCTTTGCCTTCTTTTCGTAGTACTTTTTGGCTAATGCGCTCAGCTTCGCCGAATACTCCTTCTCTATGGCGCTTCGTTCGCGGTAGAATTGCTGAATGTCATCTAGCCAGGAGATACCGCCGGAGACCTGGAGCCTCTCACGTTAGCGGCAGGAGCGCAAACCTCACAGCGCGCACAGTTCATGAACGCGCAGGGCGGACATAATAGGGTGCAGGTAACATACCCAAGCGTTTACATTCTTGAAGCCATCCTGGGGTTCTCAGTTAACACATGTTCGGTGGTGTGGCACAGTCGCGTTCGCATACCTTGAGTTCAGCGCCGAACTGGGGCGCAATATCAACATCCATGATTCGTGGAAAGCTATGGGTCGAACGCTGCAAGGGTGGAGATGGGCACCCCAGACATAGAGGGTGAAGAACTTCCGGGGCAAAGACAGCGAGGGTTACGTGGAGTGTATGTATGTATGTATGTATGTATGTACAAGGAGCCTTGGGAATGGGATGCCCAAGAGTGGGGCAGGAGGCAGGAGGAGGCGGTGCTCGCGCCGGGCAGGGAAGGCCGGGATCTGATCCGATGACGTTGCTGCAGCAGTACGGTCTTGTGTTTGGTATATATCACTATTCTCTACTGTGAACAACACTTAGTGTGAGCCACACAAGTCTGGATACGCATAAAAAGGTGGGCGCTTTGCTTGGTCGCGACAAGATGCAGTATGCTCACAGGATACGTACATATGTACTTACGTACGCTGGGCCCTGTCCATGCAACGCGAGCGCGGGCGCTAAATCCGGCTAGCGCCATAGCCCCGCCAAAGGCTGCTCTCTGGAGCTCTCACAATTTCCAACGCGGTGCCCTGTACATACTCCAACAACAACAGCATATTCTTC